GTGACTGAGTGAGTGAGTGAGTGAGTGAGTGTGTGAGTGAGTGAGTGAGTGACTGAGTGAGTGAGTGAGTGAGTGAGTGTGTGAGTGAGTGAGTGAGTGACTGAGTGAGTGAGTGAGTGAGTGAGTGTGTGAGTGAGTGAGTGAGTGACTGAGTGAGTGAGTGAGTGAGTGAGTGTGTGAGTGAGTGAGTGAGTGACTGAGTGAGTGAGTGAGTGAGTGAGTGTGTGAGTGAGTGAGTGAGTGACTGAGTGAGTGAGTGAGTGAGTGAGTGTGTGAGTGAGTGAGTGAGTGACTGAGTGAGTGAGTGAGTGAGTGAGTGTGTGTGTGTGTGTGTGTGTGCATGGACTGTATGGAAATAACATCAAATATGTACAATTTAGAAGTCTAATTTCATGATTCTTTAAAATTTCAGTAGATGCATTTACTATGAATCAGTCGTAACCCTTTCCATTAACGCTCGGTGTGCATTTGCATTTATTGTGTCCGGGCTTGTCATAGCAAATAGACAAAAGCTTTTTATCCGGAAAAACAAACAAACAAACAAAACACACGAATGTTTAGAGTCTGTGATAATCTAATGCAGTATAATGTGACTTGGAAAATTACGTGATGCAAAAACAAAATCTATGTATAACGGTCATTAATACATAGATATAATTAAAATATTATTTTAATAATTATATATTCTATTTATATAATAAAACGCGCACACACACTCACACACACACACACACACACACACACACACTCGCACATGGTGTCACCATTCACACTTTCACATGTGTTTGTATTCTTAGGTGAGAATCGTACTGTGAGTTTTATTGGGGAAAGTGTGTGTTCATGTGTGTTATTATGTGCTACCTTGGTTGCAGGTCTTTCCGGTGAATCCTGGATGACAGCGACACTGATCCGGTCCAACACACTCACCGTGTTTACAGCCCGACTCACACACAGCTACACAAACCAGACACAACACAACAGCATGAGTGAGTGTGTGTGTGTGTGTGTGTGTGTGTGTGTGTGTGTGTTCAACAATGCATACTGCTCATACTGTTTCTGCAGTATGCATACTGGTACTGTGTACAGTGAGTGAGTTTTCTGTACGCTCGAAAAAATAAGACCTATTACTTTTGCCAATTATTTTCTTAAACTAATAAAAATGACAAAAGCACATAATAAAATTAATAAAAATTAAATGTAAAAATAAAAGCTAGTTCAAATATTAATGCAAACTATAATAGTATACGTGAAATTTGGAATATATATAATAGTATATAATAGAAATATGTTTAAGATGAAGCACCAAAATTACTAACTGGAAAAATTAACTAAAACCTGAACTGAAATAACAAATTAAACCTAAATAGTCATATTTAAAAATAATAATAATATTAAAAATAAAAATGAATGAAAATGACAAAAGCACATGATAAAATCACTAAATATTAAACTAAAATTAAATGAAAACTGGAAATATAAACATAAAAGCTAATTCAATATATTAATACAAATCTAAGTGAAATTTAAAATACATAATAGTATATAACTGAAATATCAATTCTATAATAGTACAATACTATATAACTGAAATATGTTTAAGATGAAGCACCAAAATTACTAACTGGAAATAAATAAAAACTAAAACTAATATAACAATAAATTAATAAAATAAATAATGGCAAAAGAGCATGATAAAAATAAACTAAAATTAAAATGAAAATTTGAAATATAATTTAATATAATATATATAATATTATATTAATATAATAATATAATATAAAACAATTATTAATAGACACTATAATTGTACAAGTTAATTTTTAAATATATAATCATATAAAACTGAAATGTGTTTAAGATGAAGCACTAAAACTGAAATAACAAAAAATTAAACCTAAAATATATTTTTAAAAATATTAAAATATATATTAAATGAATAAAAATGACAAAAGCACATGATAAACACTAAAAATTCAACTAAAATTAAAATGAAGATTAAAAGACATAAAAAAAAGCTATTTCAAAGTATCAATAAAAAACTAGTATATATAATAATCTATAAGTAAAATATGTTTATGATGAAGAAAAAACTGAAACTGAACTAAAAGTAAAATTTAGACAACAACCGCATGCAACTGCATGAAATACTGCATCCCAGTGCAATGAATGCAGTGCCTAAAGCAGCACTCTGTAACTTTTGGCGCCCTAGCGGTTAATAAACAGAACTGCACACATCCCGCGGAAGAACATTCCAACCGGAGCTAAGCAGATGCTTTCCAGATGAAGAGATCTTTAACAGACATCTTGCAGACGTACCTGTGCTATCTGAATCTGTGAAAGCACTGCTTTACGACCTTCATCACATCTGTGGAACTAAGTTTCTTACACGTGATGCTAGCATGACATCTAGTGGACACAAGCAGAACTGCAGTTACAGCGCTTAAGCGCCAGTAGAGGGCGCAGCTGAGGAGTCATTGTTCCTGGAAGACAGACGAACATATCTCTCTCTCTCTCTCTCTCTCTCGCTCTCTCTCTGTCTCTGTCTCTGTGCTGACGCGCGATGGCCAAGAGAATTAATCCGTCGTCTTTAATTGCAGTGTGGTGTCCAGCGGTCTTACGCCCTTAATGACCTCTGGTCCGCGCGTGGCTGCCGCAGCAGGCGGAGAGTAATTACCGTAATTGATGCTCGAGGCGACGGTAGCGGGGGGGGTTCGGGGAGGGCAGCGTTTC